CTTAAACTCGAAATGTTGGAGTATAACAAACAAAATTGCTCATATAATGGAAGGCAGACGGAAAAGTGGGAGACCTATGTTATAACAAGAGTATTAACATCAACAATGTGTGAGAAAACGCATAATTTTTAATGAATAGAGATACATAAACTGTATAATAATTTTGTATTGTATTCCATGTAATTTGGTTCCATGTTGTATTATATTCTATATACTTTGATTTTATTTTACATATTAAAATACAGCAAATAAGTTATCTTATATGACTACCGATTGTGACCCATTGTGACCAGCATGTGACCAATGTGACCATAGTGCAATTTTACACTATGTGACCATTGTGACCGGATGTGACCTGTGACCAAGTGACAAAGGTAAATATAGGTTAAAACGTGTTTTTTAAACTTTGGCGTGTTATAACAAGGTATAAGGAATATAAATATAGTGGTAATGAGAGATTTATAAGACATTATAAGGAGTTTGTAATACAAAAACACCAAAATTGTCAAAATCCTTCATAAAATACTATGAACACATATGAAACACATATGTGAAGATTACTTTTGCACCAACAATTTGAAGAAATCCATTTTTACTCTTCAATATAATACAAAAGGGGTTTTATGGAACATGTGAAAGCATTCATGTTGATTCATTTGAAAGAATCGACAAAATCGGCCCTTGTGACCCACTGTGACTAACTGTGACCCAATGTGACCGAAATATTGTGGGACCCAGTTTTCATATGCAATGTTTTTTGTGGGGTCCAGTGTCATTTAAATGTGCAGAAATATTACGGTTGACAATTCAACTCAAGATTTCGGTGGGACCCATTTGATTATTATTTTTCAACCCAATTTATTCCTCTAATATTTTCCACCCATATTACGTATTGCCATTAAAAAATGGAGATTTTTTCTATAGGATCAATTCTTTATTCAATCTTATATTTTTTTTCTCCAATATTTTAAGCCAAAATTTTTTTCTATAACAATTTTAACTCGAATTTTTCTCTAAAATATAAATAAGTTCATATTTTTAATAAAAAATAAAAAGAAAAGTTCATAATTTAGGATGCTATCAAACAAACAAAAAGAGATTATAGTTAGAGTTTTAAACACCTAAATCCATATTTTGTTCTCTAACAATTTTAATCCAATATTTTTCCTCCAACGACATTTTCACATGCAATGTTTTTTGTGGGACCTATGGTCATCCAAGTGTGTAAAAAAATTACGGTTGACAATTGAGTCCAGATTTTCAATGGGACCCATTTGATTATTATTTTTAAACCCAATTTTTTTTTTCGTCCAACATTTTTCAACCCATATTTTGTTAACTCTATAAACAAGTTCATATATAAAATAAACAAAAAACATAAATAAAAATTCATAACTTAGAATTCTAATAAATAAACAATAGAAGGTCATATTTAAGATTGACAATAAAAAGAGATAAATTACTAACTGAAATAAAAGTTAGTCATTTCTAGTTGAAATAAGAGTTAGTCAACGGCGTTCCTGCATATCCAAGTGGAAGATGTGAAGTACGGTTCGAGACCGGCCAAAATTGACAAGTCGTCCAATTTTTTCCCACCACTTGATGTGCTCCGTGAAAATAGCGTCATCGAATTCTTTAAAATGCAAAGTCGTAGATCATATATTGTCTCCTCATGTCAGCATTCTGGATTATGTCATCATATGATTGTGTGACATGATACCATGAGACCGTGTGACATGGTACCATGTGACCATGTGACATGGTACAATGTGACCTTGTGACATGGTACCATGTGACCGTGTGACAATGGTACCATGTGATCGTGTGACATGATACCATGTGACCATCTTACATGGTACCACGTGACCGTGTGATGATACCATGTGACCCTATGATATGGTACCATGTGACTGTCTGATATAGTATATGTCATATGAGTGTATGGTCACAAGTTCACAGATGAGATGATCATATAGGTTACATGATTATATGGTCACAAGGTTACATAGTTTTTTAGATCACTTGGAATATGGCTCACAGATACTGTAAGTTTACATTAAGTTATCTTACATCACATGGTCACAGGTCTCTTGGTCACATGATCACAGGTTACATAATCACAGATATCATGTCCGACGGTCACATGATACTATATCAGACAGTCACATGGTACCATATCATAGGGTCACATGGTATCATCACACGGTCACGTGGTACCATGTAAGATGGTCACATGGTACCATGTCACACGATCACATGGTACCATTGTCACACGGTCACATGGTACCATGTCACAAGGTCACATTGTACCATGTCACATGGTCACATGGTACCATGTCACACGGTCTCATGGTATCATGTCACACAATCATATGATGACATAATCCAGAATGCTGACATGAGGAGACAATATATGATCTACGACTTTGCATTTTAAAGAATTCGATGACGCTATTTTCACGGAGCACATCAAGTGGTGGGAAAAAATTGGACGACTTGTCAATTTTGGCCGGTCTCGAACCGTACTTCACATCTTCCACTTGGATATGCAGGAACGTCGTTGACTAACTCTTATTTCAACTAGAAATGACTAACTTTTATTTCAGTTAGTAATTTATCTCTTTTTATTGTCAATCTTAAATATGACCTTCTATTGTTTATTTATTAGAATTCTAAGTTATGAATTTTTATTTATGTTTTTTGTTTATTTTATATATGAACTTGTTTATAGAGTTAACAAAATATGGGTTGAAAAATGTTGGACGAAAAAAAAAATTGGGTTTAAAAATAATAATCAAATGGGTCCCATTGAAAATCTGGACTCAATTGTCAACCGTAATTTTTTTACACACTTGGATGACCATAGGTCCCACAAAAAACATTGCATGTGAAAATGTCGTTGGAGGAAAAATATTGGATTAAAATTGTTAGAGAACAAAATATGGATTTAGGTGTTTAAAACTCTAACTATAATCTCTTTTTGTTTGTTTGATAGCATCCTAAATTATGAACTTTTCTTTTTATTTTTTATTAAAAATATGAACTTATTTATATTTTAGAGAAAAATTCGAGCTTCCGATCTCTAATGTTCCCTCAAATTTTGGTGGATAATTGAAAATTATGATAGAAATCAACCTTTAAAACAGAAATCGAAGAGAGAGGGAGATAAGAGATTTTGGTGGTTTGAAAAGAGAATGAACATCGTGATTTAGGAGAGAGAGAAAAGAACTATCGTGATTTAGAGGGAAGAGAGAGAGTTGTTACAGTAAAAAGGGGTGAGTTTATTTTTCCAAGTTTTTTATTTTTTTAAATAATATATTTGAAGGGTTTTTTTGTCTTTCTATTATTTATGAAGGGTTATTATGTCTTTTGCATTGTTCAACAGTTGTTTTTTTTTAATTTTTTGTTTCAAAGGTAGTAGTGGAAGTACGCGCAGCATTATTAGGGTAGTTCAGCTATTTCCCCTATACAAATACAACTCCGGGATGATTAAGCATCTCACAGAATTTACTTTGATCATTTTTTTTTCAGAATAACGCTCGAAAATTTTTCATCTTTAAACAAGTTATCGAGAAATTTTATTTTTAAGATTATATCAGAAAGTTTTAGATTTTCGGATTTATAATTTTTGTTAATCTAGTTCGTCCATTTTTTTAGTTTTCACATGTATTCAAACTTTAAAATACCTAAATTATCTTCTTCTTTTTTTTTGTCAAAAATACCTAAATTATTTTAATCATACAAAATTCGATTAATCTAAATTTTCTGAACACAATTCTCTATATTTTCTAAATTAACTATAGACCATCATAAATTTATAATCTCTCCTCACAATTGTGATTTTTTTTTGTTAAAGGCCTCACAATTGTAATTACCAATGAAATTTTGATGGATCATATTTTGCGGTTAAAAATAAATAAATATTATGTATGATTTACCATTAAGATAATATATTTCAAAGAATCAATTCCTTCTTTCCATTTGCTCAAAGTTGAAAGATTCCCTTTTGTTCAAAGTGCTCATGCTGACTACAGATAAAAAAAAAATTTCTCTTGTTTGGATTTTATCATGTGATGTTGACGTGGAAAATCTTGAACTATAGTTATATTCTATCAATATCCAATTTTAAATTTCTACAGAAAATAGTTAAGATGTCAACAATGGATTTCCAAGTTGGTGGGATTGCTCGAATTGATATCTTTATTTAATTTGGCCCGACAGCAAAAATAAATAGTATAAAAATGAAATCACATCTATATGTGTAAAACATATTTTATGTGTACAATGTATCATTGCATACGTCATAATCCGAATAATTTCTTAATTCTTTTTTTTTTACATGATAAAGTCTAAAGCTCTAGAGTTATTATTCTTGGGACCATATATAAATATATAATCTTAAAAACTTTCCATTTGAAGCGATCAATCCAACAAAAATAAATATATAGAATAACATTGTTTTTTTTAATTAATTTTTTTATAGTTTGTTTAGAATATTAAAGAGTTGTATTTCGAGGAATTTGTGTTTTTTTATATTTAAATCCATTTCGTTGTCATTAATAATACCAATTGTTACCTTGCAATTTTAACATGATATCATTGCATGAGCTCTTTTAGTATTTTTGAGATTTCACTTGTTTTCACAAACATATGGTTTAACCGAATATGATAGTGAAGAAAAAAAAGGATATATGAAACTAGCTAAAAAAATGTGTGTGTACATATATATAATAATATGTGAATATATATATATATATACTGTATTATAAGATTACGAGTCTTATCGTACGTTAATATGTAATAAATAGATATATATGCATGACATGGTACCTATATAAGCCATTCTCATTTCTCACCAAAGATTCCTAGCACAAAAACGACAAAGATTTAGAGAAATAATTATAAATATCCATCTTATTTTATTTCCACCTTAATCACAGACATGATACCTATGTAAAACCAATATATATATATATATATATATATATGTTCATGCATACTTCCGCATGCTTGAAGCAAAATAATACAAATTAATGGACAATAACGAGGTTGTTTGCACACTTACATCTCTTGCCCTCATACTCTACGTTGCGTGGCTCATCACCACGAAAAGACGTCGTCATCGTCCGCACTTCCACCGGGGCCGAAGCCATGGCCGGTGGTGGGAAACATGTTCCAGCTGGCCATTTCTCCCTTACCCCCGCACCAAACACTCTCGAAACTGGCGCGTGGGGTCCACGGACCGTTCATGACACTGAGGTTGGGGTCCATGCTCACGGTGGTGGCGTCGTCCAGCTCGGCGGCGCGTGAGGTGTTGAGGGACTGTGACGTGGCATTGGCGGGAAGGAAGATATACGAAGCCATGAAAGGGGAAAGAGGGAAGAGCAGTGAAGGGTCACTCATCACGGCCCAATACGGTGCGTATTGGCGGATGCTACGACGCCTCTGTACAACTCAGTTTTTCGTCACGCGCCGTCTCGATTCCATGTGCAACGTACGCGCTCGGTGCATGGATCAGATGGTTCGGTTCGTGGAGGAGGCTGGTCAAAACGGTGCGTATTATATATGTATTCTCTGGATCATTTGAAATTGTGGTGGATTCCATAGGTATGTTACATTAGACGTTATGTTAGTAATATGAGTCATGTGTTGTGTCTAACTGTTATTAATTAGTCTTAATTTTTAAAATTAATTCATATAAAGTAAATGAATTTAGTATTAAATTCGATGTGTCAATTTATGATAAAGCAAACTGATGAAATCTATATTTTTTTTCATTGATCCGATGATAATATTTTCAAGATCCGTCCTTTCATATATAACTCGAGTTTGTACCACAAAAATTGCATGTTTGTTTGTAGGTTTAATAGATATTAGGGTTCCACTTCACATATGAAAAACCCTTTATTTTCTAACATTTGGGATTTAGGAACTCATACATCGTAATTGAGTTTTTATTGTCTAATAAATATTATATGTTTTTAATATATCAACAAATTAATTAAATGAGTATATTGCCGTTCATATTTTTGTTTAGGTACAAAAACTGTGGACATCGGAAGATATTTCTTCTTGATGGCGTTCAATTTGATCGGAAACCTGATGTTCTCCAAGGATTTACTAGACCCAGATTCGAAACAAGGCTCGAAGTTCTTCTACCATGCCGGAAAAGTCATGGAGTTCGCCGGAAGGCCCAATGTCTCCGATTTCTTCCCCCTCTTGAGGTTTCTTGACCCGCAAGGCATAAGGAGGCAAACGCAGTTTCACGTAGAACGCGCGTTTGAGATCGCCGGAGAGTTCATTAGAGAACGAATGGAGGTCATGAAGAGCAAAGGTCGGGACGAGAAAGCGAAGGATTACTTGGATGTTCTCTTGGAGTTCCGTGGTGATGGACCCGAAGAACCTTCTAAGTTTTCATCTAGAACCATCAACGTTATCGTGTTTGTGAGTCATATTTCATTTATCTATCATTTCATTTATTAGAAATTTAGAACTTTTAATACCGTAAAAAAAAACACAAACTAAATAAGAAATATACTAATCCACATGAATTCTTCGTTATTCTCAATAATTCAGGAACGAAATTTTGAATGTTTTTATTTTCTTGTTATGTTTTCGTTGGTAAGGAAATGTTCACGGCGGGGACGGACACGACTACGAGCACGTTAGAGTGGGCACTCGCGGAGCTCCTCCACAACCCGAGAACCCTAACCAAACTCCAGAATGAACTCCGAACATCAACGAGCCAAACGTTGCAAGAACAAGACCTTCCGAACCTGCCTTACCTGCAAGCAGTGATCAAAGAAACTCTAAGACTGCATCCACCATTACCATTCCTAGTCCCCCACAAAGCCATGTCCACATGCCACATCCTCAATGGTCAATACACAATCCCTAAAGAGACTCAAGTCCTAGTCAATGTCTGGGCCATTGGTCGTGACCCGGATACTTGGCCCGACCCGATGATTTTCCGACCCGAGAGGTTTCTATCCAACCCGAATCCGAGGGACTTTAAAGGTCACGATTTCGAATTCTTGCCATTTGGGTCGGGCCGTCGGATGTGTCCGGCCCTACCGCTAGCGACCCGAGTCTTACCGATGGCTCTTGGGTCGATGGTGAGATCTTTTGATTGGGCCTTGGCTGATGGGCTTAGGCCCGAAGAATTGGATATGAGTGAGAGAATGGGCATTACATTGAGAAAAGCCATTCCTTTGGAGGCCATTCCCATTTCTTTTAAAGGGGTTTGAATTTGAGATGGATATTGTTTCTCTTTTATGCATTTGACACTTTGTTTTTGGAACAGTGGACTATTTTATTAATGAATAAAAAAATTTGTGAAGAAATTAGAAATTATATTTAGATATATAGAAAAAATCCTAAAAAAATTACCGAACTTAGAGATAGCTGATATATTAATACCGAACTTTTCCAACTTCCAAATTAAATATGAACTCGTCGATTTTGACACAAAAAATATTGAACTTGTAAATCTTTGACAAAAATCTCATCGACGTTAAACGGCGTTAAATCGACCAACGGTTGCGCTGACGTGGCGGATGACTCAACGCCTCGTCATCCGCCACGTCAGATAAGCATTTTCTAAAAAAAATAAAAATAATTCGAATTATAATTAAAAAATAAAATAAAAAATAATAAAAATTAAAAAGAGTAAAAGTAAAAAAATAAAATAAAAAATGAATATATATATATATATATATATATATATATATATATATATATATATATATATATATATATATATATATATATATATATATATATTTATGTATATAGATAGATATATAAAAAAATATACAATATATATACAATATATACACAACTATATATATTAAAATAATTGTAATTACATTACAAATAATTAAAAATATAATAAATATATCAAAATTCACACACATATATATACATATGTATAAAATAATAACTATTAAATATATATATATATATATGTATATGTATATATGTATATATTAATAAATATATACATTTAATAGTTACTATTTTATGTATATATACATATATGTTATATATATATATTGTATATTGTATATTTTTTGTTTTTGTTTTTGTTTTTTTTTATTTTTTTATTTTTTATTTTTAATTTTAATTTTAAATTTCAAATTTTAATTTTTAATTTTTAATTTTTAATTTGAATTTTAAATTTTTAGTTTTTTATTTTTATTTTAAATTTTGTTTTTAAAATTTTAATTTTTATTATTTTTCTTTTTATTTTTCTTTTTATTATTTAATATTTTTTATTTTTTAATCTAAAATTATTTTTTTCTGACGTGACTATGACGAAGCGTTGAGTCATCCACCACATCAGCTCAACCGTTGGTTGATTTAACGCCGTTTAACGTCGATGAAGTTTTTGTCAAAGATTTACAAGTTCAACATTTTTTGTGTCAAAATCGACGAGTTCATATTTAATTTGGAAGTTGGAAAAGTTCGGTATTAATATGTCAACTATCTTTAAGTTCGATAATTTTTTTAGAATTTTTCCAGATATATATATATAATCTCCAAATAATAAACAAAATGAGGCTATAAATAACTACCACTATTTTATTAGTGATGCTTGTCTCATCAAATTTGGGCTCATGTTCAGTTTGTAGAGTTGAAGGTGTATCTTAGTCTTAAGTTGGCATGGGACAGAGGATAGAAGAAAGTGTTGGTGGAAACGAACAACTAGGCTTTGGTAGCGGTAATACAAAACTCAGGAGACATTATTTTAGTGGATGGATCGGAAGGAAATTCAAGAGATGATATTAAGACCCTGGAAAGTCTCTGAATCTCACATTTTTTGAAAAGTCAATTTCTGCGCAGTCACATTAGTCTCCATGGATCATACCTCTCAGTTGGGTGTCAATTTCTTTGATATCCCTCCTCCACAGTTAGTTCATCTTATGAATGCAGGTAAAACTGGGGTTTAATGTCTCACACGCTGTTAAATGTAATTGATTAAAGTGATCTCTTTTTTTGCGAAAAATAACTACTACTAATCTTGCAAATATAATAGATCATTGATATCACTCTAAATATGTTTAATTTTTTTTTATAAAAAAAATTGAACTTTAAAATTCAACGGTTAAAAATATTCTTATATGCAATTTTCATACATTTAAGGATAATATGTTTTATCAATATATTGTATTTTATAATATCATAATCAAATCAATTCAAAATTTTTATCTTGAGTTATTGAGAATTACGAAATATTTACAAATAATTCAAAGGTTTTTCTTAATTTTATATAATAAATTTTATGGTTAAAAATATTAATATGTACACTTTTCGTACATTTTATAATATTAAAATTATATGTTTTATCAATATATTATATTTTGTAATATTATAATCAAATTTTTTCAAAGTATTGATCTTGAAAATTACAATATATATATAT